TTGTCTGTCCCCCTTCCCCCAATTCCCCAGCACTGTTCCCATCCCCCCAATTCACCAATAAAAATCTTTAAAAAAAAAAAAAGTCAAACTGACAGTGTAGCTTCCAACTCTTTCAATGAACAGGCCTATGTGCACAGGAGGAAATCACGAGAGGGAGAAGTAGCTTCCCAGGGAAAAGGCAGAGAGGGAAAGCCAATAGTGAGCTGAGCACCAACTGTGCCAGGAACTGACAGACACGCTCATATTTTATCTCTATCCTTACAGATAGGCAGGTATTATCACCCTGTTGTGCAGAAGGGAAGCTTTAAAATGTTATGGAATTTTGCAGAAGTTACACTGAGGGCTAGACCTTGGATCAGAAGCCAGTTCTAGCTATGAAACCATCAGGTTTACAAAACACTCTTTTAAGACTTCCCCTTTTTATTACAAAAGTGCCCAACACATAGTAGGTTCCTTCCTCCCTCCCTCCCTTCCATCTTTCCTTCCTTCCTCCCTCTCTCACTTCCTTCCTCTCCCCTTTCCTTCCTTCCTTCCTTCCTTCCTTCCTTCCTTCCTTCCTTCCTTCCTTCCTTCCATAAATACTCATGAGTCCCTATTCTGGGATCTTCTAAAGTACTGAAGATATGGTTGTGAACAAGACAGATAAAAATTAAAACCTCAAAATATTCCTGCCCTTACAGAGGTAAATTAAAGAAGACAGATAAGCACAAGCGGGGAATGGGACTAGGAAGTGTTGGGGTCAGGGGAGGTGTTGAAGTTTTGGATGGGGGGCCAGGGCGATGCTCAGAGCTGCACTTTTGGTAAAGACATAAAGGAGGCAGAGGTATAACAGCCAGCTGTGGGCTGCTCCCTCCAAGAAATCCAGAAAAAGACGACCTAGACCTTGAGGAAAGCGACTCACACTACCTGCCACCCTTGAAGTAATCCGGGAGAGAAACAAATCACAAAAGGTTGAAGTTGATTCTTTGCCTTCTCAACAGTCTTTTTTTTTTAAAGATTTTTATTGGGGAATTGGGGGCATGGGAACAGTGCTGGGGAATTGGGGGAAGGGGAACAGACAAGTTGCTGTCGTTTTGTT